GCCGAAACCGAAGCTGCTGAGGTCGCCATCACCGCCAAGGCCGTCGCCGCGGCCTCCAAAGCCGCCGAGGCCGCCGAAAACGAAAACGGCGAGCGGCCAGCGGCTATTTTCTCCCACTGCCGGAAAACTCACCGGGGGAGGGGGCAGATCTTCTGGCTCCTCGGGGGTCTCTCCAGGGGTCTCTTCGGGGGTCTCCAAACCCCCCCTCTGCCCTTCTTCCGCTCCATTACCACGGAGCTACGGGACAGGCGTCCGCCATCTTGCAGACATGGCATGGGTCCAGGACACCTATGGACCTGTCTTCCCCAATGAGATTGTCCCACCTCAATTGTGCTGGCAAAAGGGGCCTACTGTGGATCCCATCAGTCAAGGAATTTCAGCTGGTGGGATCCAGGAGAAGAGCCTTTTCTACCACGGCTCCTGCCCTTTGGAACATCTTGCCACAGGAGGCAAGATCCCCCCCCCCCATTAGCCTTCAGAAAAAGCCTTAAAACCTGGTTATGCTGGCTAGAATGGGATCCTGAAGGATTGTTGGCTGGAGGTGGTTGGTGCACTAACAGAGAAGGCACCCCACCTCTCCCCTTCAAACCCTTGTTTTTTAGTTTGTTTTAATTTTTGTAATTTTAATCCATTTTATACAGTATTTATAACTGTTATATGTTATTTTATCTTGATGTAAGGTGCTCAGAGTTGCCCAAACCATGAGGTGGGCAGCAAATAAATTTGATTGATAAATAAAATATCAAGCCCATTATAAACAATGCCTACCAGCTTTAAATATCTAGCCTCAAGGGGCTGAAGAGTCCTCAAATCACTTCAAAAGGTCATAGGCAGGGGCTGTATCCTCCTTTTGAAATGTCTCCTCCAAATCAAATCTTAAGCACTACACAAGCTCTAATGATCAGTTATGCAGACCCTATGCAGAGTTCCTCAGGGTAAGCATCTACCTTCAAATAAATAAACATTGGTTTCTTTCTGTTAACTGTAAATAAACAACAGCATACAGAAGCAATAGCTATAAGGAAATAGAGCTAGGTACTCACTGTAGTTAGCAAAGTACGGAGCTCCTCAGGGCCCAGACTTTCATAGCTGATTCCAGCAGAATTGTTATACTAAGGAAGAGAACACACCACACCCAGATATTTTAAGTGTTATATAAATCACAGCAATCCTTTCCTTCGCATTTCCCACCATGAAATGAAATGAAATACTGTTTATTCGGTCAATGACCATCAAAATTTGAAAATATGCAACACAAAAGTAAAATCAAATAGATAAGATAAAATACTAGTATAACAAAGATAAAATAACAAATAAAAATAACATATGCTACTATGAAATCCTATTAGATTCTGGAGTCATCAGCATTAGGAGGCCCATTTAATGTTAGATGTTGAAAGCCACAAGAGATAGGGCAACGATGCAGAATGGATGGGACTTTGTCATGCAGCAATGAAATACTTCTAGACCAGGGGTCCCCAACCTCCAGTCCGTGGACCAGTACCGGGCCGTGGCATGCCAGCAACCGGTCCACACAAACAAGCAAAGCCCCATCCACGAGATGTAGGCAGCACACAAAACCACGCACCCTCCGGTCCGCAGAAAAACCTCTCTCCACAGAACCGGTCCATGGTGCCCAAAAGGTTGGGGACGTCTGTCCTAGAGTACATCCACTGCTTTTGTTAAAAATGGTGATAAGTTTCTTTGAGGTTGAAATTATAGTTTCCTTGGATTTCCTTTCTTAATTATAAGCATTTGTGCCACCAAATTCAGGCATATGGTGGGAGAGGGCTCCAGAGCCACTGCTGCTTTAGTTAGTTCCGCTAACTAAACAGAGCTACTGTAGAATACCTTGTACTTCCTGAAGTCCTGAAGAGGAACACAGTATGATAGGTCACAAAGTTGCTGTGCTGAACTAAACTCACCTTAAATGGGTCTGAGTTGCCACTCAGCTCCCCTATAGGAAGAGAAAAAAATATAGGTAACTAGCAACACATGTGGTCTCACTCTACCATGATGTTCATCAATGCACATGCTAGAGAACTAGCACTTGTTTTTAAAGGCCAATTCATAGATTCCGTATGGCCAGTTGCATGTCAAGCTGTGAATGGAGCCATCTCCAAATTATGCCTTAGGAAACACAAATGTTCAATTTTGCATAAGAAAATATATATAACAGCATTCTGAAACATTCTAAAGCAATCTAAAACATGCTTTACACAATCTACAGTAAAGGAGGGTTAATTAGTGGAGAAAGGAAGCTCAAACAATGAACCAAGAGAGAGGCTGACTTACATTCCTTCCAGTCCAGTTTCCAGGGTGATCCAGGAATCCTGCAGTTTTGGAGTTTTTTGTAATTCCTTGTTGCCATTCATGACTCTCTTTTAAGCAAGCCCATCTGCTCTGGGTCAACCAACTGCCATCACTATTTGCCCATCTACACTTCATCAAGCCTTCAGTAGATTCCTCCAAATGCTTAGTGTTTCCTCTTCTTACTTGACAGACCACAATGAAAAATTGTCCGTGGTAGAGCTACCACATCTAGTCTGGATTTTGGCAGCCCAAATAAAGTAACTATAACCCATCCTATGCACTCCCTCCAGATGCCCAATTCATTTGAAAGCCATGACAACCTTTCCTTTGTTTTCTGAGCATAGCACACACTGCCCCTGCTTTTCCGCTAAACCTTTAAATCAAGCAGGTTTTGGCCTACTTAAAGAAACACAGATATTTAGCAGACTGACCAAAAATATTCTGGTTGTACAACACATTAGTTCACCTTGATCTTCTCTTTACATTTTCCCATAGCATGTGTAAAGCAGCAATAGCCAAACAATGCTGTCACATGTTACAGTTCAAGAAGAAACCTACTACATCAAGCAGGATAAAAGGATCTGACAGTTTGGCCACATAAGAGGCGCCCTGATGCATCTCTCCCAGCAAATCTATCCATGCTTGGAGAACTCATGCTGTTTAGCTGCTGCTTTAGTTGTGTTTGTTTCCCTCCAATTAATCTGGCATGCCCACATTCATCACTCACACAGAAACACAAGAAAACAGGGCTTTCCAAAGGCAGGCACTGCTTGCAGTTACAAAGCAAAAAAGCATGTATCTTCTTCACTCCAAATTTTAATTTTAATTAAGATACACAAAACCTCTACAGAAGCTTGGAACATTTCTACAAAGAATAAAATATAAAAAAGGAGCTTGGGAAATTATTTGCAATATTCATTATATTGTGTCATATGGAGATCAAATACAGCAAGAATGAAAGATGATTTTGCACTCACCATTTTTATGTTTCAGGGACTTGGATCTTCGGGGAGAATTGGGATTCTGAAAGAAGTGAGGAAAAGTAAAGGGTCTAGTTTGGTATGGGGGACAACTCTGAATATAATAGATCTTGCAACTAAATGCCCTCTTCTTGAAGGCCAGACTTTCCAACGTTGTTTCATTTCAATGGTAAGCAGAAATCAGGCTATTTCTTCAAGGTTTTGAACATCAGTAACAGCAATGCAGATGATTAGGTTTTAACTTTTTTTAATTATCTGGTACCTAAATAATGGCAAATGAGCTATAAAATACAGGTAGTCCTCAACTTACGACCACAACTGAGCCCAAAATTTCCATTTCTAAGCAAGGCATTGAGTTTTGCCCCATTTTACAAACTTTTTTGCCACAGTTGTTAAGGGAATCACTGCAGTTGTTAAGTGAATCATACAGTCATTAAGTGAATCTGGCTTGCCCCGTTGACTTTGCTTGTTGGAAGCCAGCTGCGAAGGTTACAAATGGTGATCACATGACCCCAGGACAGTGCAACTGTCATAAATACATGCCAGTTGCCAAGTGCCTGAATTTTGATCATGTGACCCTGGGGATGCTGCAACAGTCGTAAGTGTGAAAACTGGTCATAAGTCACTTTTTTCAGTGCTGTTGTAACTCTGAACGGTCACTAAACGAATGGTTGTAAGTCAAGGACTACCTGTATTTTAATACTTAAAACAGAGGAAGCACAAAACTATTTTGAAATGAATAGGTTTAAAGAATGTTGTTGAAGTACAGAAAGGCCGACGCGAGAGTCTGGACGATTAAGCAAGGGAAGCGACCAGTGGCTGAATATATTCGGGAATTTTGCAGCTTGGTTGCTCGTGTCAGAGGATTGCCGGAGCATATGTTGGTCTACCAATTCCAAGATGGATTAAACAAGGAATTGTATTACAACTGTCTACCCAGAGGGGTGTCCCATCTCCTCAGAGACTGGTACCAGCTAACTACCAAGGTGGAGTTAGATTTGATAGATTACCGACAGCACACTGGTCAAGACCATCAACCTCATCCTGCAGTTGAGAGACAGCTGGTTGGTCAAGGTCAAGGAAGTAAGGGTAGTGTTCCCGAGACCAGGAGAGAGAGACCCCCCCTCAGGGGATGGGAACATGTTTCCGATGTGATAAGGTGGGACACCGAGCCCTGGATTGCCCTGCCCCACATCCTATGTCAGCCCGTTGCCCTCCAAGTAAGCTGAGGCCAAAGAAGCCAGAACCGAAAACCAAGGAAAGAACCAAAGTGGCTCAACAGGTCATTGAGGTTTCTCCAACCTATGGTGAAGGGGAGAGAACTCCAACCCGAGAAACTTGGACTGGTTTTCTATGAGAGTGACAGTAAAGGGGAGGATGACCGAATGGTAACTGTTAAGGCACCCAAATCCAGAGAAGCATGCTAACACTGAAGTGTTCATGCCAACAAGTAGCGTTAGTTCTTAGGAAGGAGAGGCTACACAAAACCCAATGAAGGAAGAACAGGATAGCAGGTCAGAAATAATAGGGATAGAAGAAGATAGACCTGAGACACGGGTCGGCAACCCGTGGCTCTGGAGCCGCATGCAGCTCTTTTGTCCTTCTACTGCGGCTCCCAGTCCTCCTCCGCCATTTGCAGAGAGAGAGACAGAGAGAGGCACTTGTGCTTCCCTTCTCTCTCTCTCTCTGTGCCCATTCAGTCATTAATCCAGTCCGAGCGCCCACACGCACACGCACACACACACGGTTTTCTATCTTGCTCTCGCGGGGATCGAGAGGAGGAACCAGCGTTAACGAAATGGGACAAATGAACATGGCTGCCTTAAGACGCCCACTGCATCTCAGGCACCCCACCACAGCTGACACACCGCAGACATTCTTATTTGGCTGGCTCTCCACCGGCTCTCCTCTCCTGTCCTTGGTCTGCCAGTCCTCTTCCCCCACTCAGTGTGTTTGTGTGTGTGTGTGGGCGTTCAGACCGGATTAATGAATGAATGGGCAGAAAGAGAGGGAGAGGGAGGGAGGGAGAGGGAGGG